CCTATAACACACAGGTCATGGGGTAGGGAGGATGCGATGGCTTTATCTTCGAATCCACCATATTTTACATTCTTAGAAAGCAGGGAGTTCAGACTGGTGGCTATTGTGTCCAAAGATGCAGTTAGCCAAAGATGGTTTACTAACATTTTGGACCTTACAATATTTTATAAATTTTAGCCAACTTTTCATAACCAGGGGATATATTTATTTTATTTTATTTTAATTTTTGAAAAATTTTAACTCAAATATAGTTAAAATACAGTGTTATATTAGTTTCAGGTGTATAATATAGTGATTAAACAATGCCATACATCAACCAGTAGTCATCACGACAACCGCACTCCTTAATCCCCATCACCTATTTAACCCATCCCTCTCCTCTGGTAACCATCAGTTTTTCTCTATAGTTAAGAGTCTGTTTCTTGGTTTGTCTCTCTTTCTCCCCCTTTCCCCCCACCCCCACTGTTTTGTTTCTTAAATTCCACATACAAGTGAAGTCACATGGTATTTGTCTTTCTCTGACTGATTTATTTTGCTTAGGATAATACTCTCTAGCTCTATCCCCGTCATTGCAAATGGCAAGAGTACATTCCTTTTTTATGGCTGAGTAATATTTCATTATATATATGTATATATATAAAATAAAATATACTGAAAATACATATCTCCATTTATCTATTGACGGACAATTGGGCTGTTTCACAATTTGGCTATTGTAGATAATGCTGCTATAAACATCAGCATGTATCCCTTTGAACTAGAATTCTTGTATTTTTTGGGTAAATACCCTGTAGCACAATTGCTAGACCATAAGGTAGTTCTATTTTTAACTTTTTGAGGAACCTCTATACTGTTTTCCAGAGTGGCTGCCTGGTTTGCATTTCACCACCAGTGCAAGAAGTTTTCCCCTTTCTCATATCATCACCACCACCTATTGTTTCTTGTGTTGTTGTTTTTAGCCATTCTGATAGGTGTGAGGTGATACCTCATTGTAGTTTTGATTGCATTTCCCTGATGATGAGTGATGTTGAGCATCTTTTCATGTGTCTGTCAGCCGTCTGTATGCCTCTTTGGAGAAATGTCTCTATCTTCTTGTCTTCTGCCCATTTTTAAATTGGATTATTCATATTCTGGGTGTGGAGTTTTATAAGTTCTTTATATATTTTGGATACTAACCCTTTATTGGATATGTTATTTGCAAACGTCTTCTCCCATTCTGTAGGTTGGTTGCCATTTAGTTTTGTTGATTGTTTCCTTCGCTGTGCAGAAGCTTTGTATTTTGATGTAGTCCTAATAGTTTATTTTTGCTATTGTTCCCCTTGTCTCAGAAGACTTACCTAGGAAAATGTTGCTGTGGGCGATGTCAAGGAAGTTATTGCCTGTGCTCTCTTTTAGGATTTCTATGGTGTCAGGTCTCCCACTTAGGTCTTTAATCCATTTTGAGATTGTTTTTGTGTATGGTCCAGTTTCATTCTTTTGCATGTGGCTGTCCAGTTTTGCTAATACCATTTGTTGAAGAGACAGTCTTTTTCCCTTTGGATAGTCTTTCCTGTTTTGTTGAAGATTAATTGACCATATACCTATGGGTTCATTTCTGCAATTTTCTATTCTGTTCACTGATCTGTGTGTCTATTTTGTGCCAGGACCATGTTGTTTTGATTACTGTGCCTTTGTGATGTAACTTGAAATCCAGAATTATGATGCCTCCAGCTTTGCTTTTCTTTTTCAGGATTGGTTTGGCTATTTGTGGTCTTTTGTGGTTCCATACAAATTTTAGGATGGTTTGTTGTAGTTCTGTGGAACATGCTGTTGGTATTTTGATAGGGATTACATCAGATGCATAGATTGCTTTGGGTAGTACAGACATTTTTACAATAATTGTTCTTCCAATCCATGAGCATAGATATCTTTCCATTACTTTGTGTCAGCTTCAGTTTCTTTCAGCAAGGTTTTGCAGTTTTCAGAGTACAGGTCTTTCACCTCTTTGGTTAGGTTTATTCCTAAGCATCTTATTATTTTTGGTGTAATTGTGAATGGGGTTGATTCCTTAATTTCTCTTTCTGCTGCTTCATTATTGGTGTTTGGAAATGCTACAGATTTCCACAAGTTGATTTTGAATCCTGTGACTTTGCTGAATTTGTTTATCACTTTTGGTAGTTTTTTGGTGGAATCTTGTGGGTTTTCTATATATGGTAACATGTCATCTGCAAAGAGTGAAAATTTGACTTCTTCCTTAGCAGTTTGGATGCCTTTTATTTCTTTTTGTTGTCTGATTGCTGTGGCTAGGACTTCTGGTACTATGTTCAGTACAAGTGGTGAGAGTGGACATCCTTGTCTTGGTCCTGACTATAGAGGACAAGCTCTCAGTTTTTGCTCATTGAAGATGTTGTTCACTGTGGGTTTTTCATAGGTAGCCTTTATTATGCTGAGGTATGTTCACTCTAAACCTACTTTTTTGAGGGTTTTTATTATGAATGGATGTTGCACTTCCTCAAGTGGTTTTTCTTTTTTCTTTCTTTCATTTTAAAAAAGATTTTATTTATTTATTTGACAGAGAGAATGACAGCAAGGGAGGGAATAGAAGCAGGGAGAGTGAGAGAGAGAGAGAAGCAGGCTTCCCGTTGAGCTGGGAGTCTGATGAGAGGCTTGATCCCAGGATGCTCGGATCATGACCTGAGCTGAAGGCAGATGCTTAATGACTGAGCCACCCAGGCACCCCTGTCAAGTGATTTTTCTGCATCTCTTGAAATGACCATGTGTTCTTAACCTTTCTCTTATTAATATGATGTATCATAATGTTTGATTTGTGAATATTGAACCACCCTTGCATCCTGGGAATAAATCCCACTTGATGGTGGTGAATGATTTTTTTTTAATGTATTGTTGAATTCTGTTTATTAGTATTTTGTTGAGGATTTTTGCATCTATGTTCATCAGAGATATCGGCCTCTAGTTCTCTCTCTCTCTCCTTTTGTGTATGTCTTTATCTACATAACTGGAAGATTTAATATAAAAATGAGCATATGGCTTTTCTTGTAAAAACTAGGAGTTTTATTGACACAGGGCGTACATTGCTGCAGGGCAATGGCTGGCTCAAGGTGTGGTGAAGTGACCCCTTTTGGCTTACCACAATCCTCACTGCTCACCCAACACATTAGTATGGACACCCTTGGGCTTGTCCAGATGTTTATGTTAGTTACCTGGTCATTGTGATATTGTTTGCCTCTCTTTTGAAGTCCCTCTTTCCTTATAACATCAGTGTCATGTCCTTATAACATCACCTTTTCCTTATAACATCAGTGTCATGTCCTGAACTACCTGATTGGGTCATGCTCTTGAATTCATGAAGTCTTTGGAATTTTGTGCATTATTAGAATGAAAGCAGTACTTATGTGCCAGGCAGTGTTCTAAGGGCTTTACAAATATTAACTCATTTAAAACTCATAATAACTGTCTGGACTCGGTACTTTATATTACCCGTATTTTTTAGACAGGGAAACTGAAGCATAGTTCTTAAATTAATAGCCAAGTCATATAGCCTATATGATAATTTTTTACTTTACATCAACTTCTTCCAGGAACCAGATATACTTCAGTGTCTGTAGAGATGCCCCACCGCACCCCACAATCTCACTTTCTCATTTTTAGTGAACTTTTCTGTTTCATCTCAGTCACTCACATCTGGACACATTGGACCTTGTCAAAATCAATAATAGATATAGCTCTGATATTTGAACTCTGAATCTACTGTGACAACAGCCCCTTATCTTTCTAAGTCTTTAATCCAATTTTCAACCTCATAGGGCTCTCCATTCTCTAAAATATTTCACTTTTACCTGGTCTATCTGTTCTTTTTATAGTATCATTTTTTTCTCTTATGAGGACTGGTTTCCATGGTGATCCCATGAACCGCTTTATCACTAATAGCCACAACTCTCATATATTCTTTTCCAACATGTTTTCTCAGCAAAACTTCAATCAACTCTACAATCTCACCTTCTCTGCCTTCATAAACTGATGAAAAACATGAGGCTATAAATTTAGGGTTTCCAGTTTCAGGTAGGTGCTGAGCACCTCATTATCTTGCTTATTCAACAAATATTAATGAAGTACCTATTATGTGTCTGGCTCCAACCTAGATACTCAGAGAAATTAGTGACCAAGCCAGACAAAAATCCTTGCCTGTACAGAGCTAATATTCTAGAGAGGACAGATATGAAAGCAAGTAAAATGGGTAGTATGTAAGACATTGAATGTACTGTGGAGAAAAATAGGGTAAAGAAAGGACACAAGGAGAGCTGGGGAATAGACAGAATAAGGAAGACTAACTGAGAATGAGTTGTTTGCGTGAAAAATTGAAAAGGTCAGTATATCATGAAGGTAATCTGGGGTAAGAGAAGTCCAGGCAAAGAGAACATTAAGTGCAAATGTCCTGAGGCAGGAGCATGCCTGAAGTAGTCAAAGAATATCCACTTTTGTTGGAATGGAGGAAGGAAGGTGGCTAAGAGGAATAAATGAAGCCAGAGAGGTCATGAAGGTCATTTTGTGTAGAATCTGGTCAGTCATTGTAAAGAACTTTGGTTCTGCTCTGAGATACAAGTTCGTTTGGAGGATTTTGAGCAGAGGTATGATATGATATGGTCGGACTTCTTTTTAGAAAGTATTGTTTGGATTGCTGTGTTGAAACTAGTGTTGAGGGGTAGAAGCAAGTGTTTGAAACTGAGAGACATTTAAGAGGTCATTGCAATAAATAAAGGTAATGCTTAGGTCTAGGATGAATGTGGTGAATGTAGTGAGAAATTTCTAGTTGTGGATATGTCTTAGAAGTATAATAAGCAAGAGAACTTTCTTATGCCGTATATGAAAGAAAGAAGCATCTAGGATGAAGCTAAGGATTTTGGCCTGAGCACTAGAAAGAGTGGAGTTAGATTAACTGAGATGGGAACGACTGAAGAAGAGCAGGGATTGGTGAATTTGGGAGTTGTGTTTCAGATTTGTAGAGTCTGATGACTTTATATTCAAGTGGACACATTGAGAAAGTTCCAAGTCTGGTGTTGGGGGAGAAGTTCTCAATTAGCAATAATCGCGCCTCGGATAAACCTCATTGGCTACGATACTGCCACTGCGCAAAGCTGGGGGAGAAGTTCTAATGAGAAGTAGAAGTTTGGGGATTGTCAGCATGTAGATGTAATTTAAAACCACAGGACTGGATGTGGTCCCTAAGGGAAGGAAGGTAGCTAGAGAAAAGAGAAGAGATCCAAGGACTGAACTTATGGGCATCTGAATATTTAGAATCGGAAAGTTAAGATTGAGCATGCAAAGACACCCAGGAGTGACCAGTGAACCAGAGTATGTGAGGTCTTGGAAACAAAGTGAAGGAAGTTATTCAAGAGGGGTATCACCCGTGTCAATTACTGCTGACAGATTGAGTAGAGTGATGACTGAGACCTGGTCACTAGGTTTTGCAACAAGAAGAAGACTGACCATAGTTTCATTGGAGGGAAAAACTGGATTGCAGTTGTCTCAAGAAAGAGACTGAGAAGTGAAGTACTGATACTTGCTATAACATGAATGAACCTCAAAACATGCTAAGTGGAAGAAGCCAGACACAAAGGCCACATATTATATGATATGATTCCATTTATATGAAATGTTCAGAATATGTGAGTCCATAGAGACAGAAAACAGATTAGTTTTTTGATCTACTGTGAGAAGGAGGAGATGAGAAGTGATTGCTGATGGGTATGGGGTTTTGGGGGTTTTTTTGGGGGGTTTTGAAAATGTTAGGAGTTAGATAATTTGATAGTTGTACAACCTTGAACCACTGAATCATACACTTTAAAATAGTGAATTTTATAGTGTTTGGTAATATCTCAAAAAGGATAATGAATAGGAATTGAAGGTAATGTATATAGACAACTCCGAGGAGATCTTCTGAAAAGGGAAGCAGAGAAACAAAAGGGTAGGTTGAAGGGAATATGGAGTCAGGACTGAAAGAAATTACAGTAGGTATCCTTTTAGAATGATTTAGTAGAGAAGGGGAATTGGTGATAGAGGTTAAAGGGAAATAGCTGCTTTGACAATGTCCTTGAGTAGTTAAGAGTAGATGGAACCTAGGGAGTAAGTGGAAGAATTGATAGAGGCAGGAGCAATTCATTTAGGAATAAAAGAGAAGGTGCAATGTGTGATGCAGATATTGGTAGCTGGATAGATACGATGGTGAGAAGGCATGGAAGTTCTTTTTAGTTGGCTCTAATAGTGAAATAGGAACAAAATTATCAGCTGAGAGTAAGGTTGGGAAAAATACTGTATGTTTGAGAAGAGAGGAAAATACTCATTCAGGAGATTGAGAGATTGAATGTATCCAGTAAGTGTCATAGGATTATTGGGTGATCCTGAAGATCTATCTAAGGTTTGTAATAAAAAATTTATAGACTAGTCAGCATAATCATGTAATTATTTTCCATGAAGGCTTAGTTTGCTTGGATGCAGACATACAGTGGGTAGAAATTTGAATTTAAGAAGGATAGGACTTTTTCCCAGTTTAGTTCCAGAAAGGTGAAGGTAAATGGAAGGAAGTGAGGTAATGATGTATTCAGGAGGTTAAACAGGGTGTCTTAGTCCATTCTTGGTCTATTTGGGTAGCTATAACAAAATGCCAGCGAATGGGTAGCTTATAAACAACAGAGACTTATTTCTCACAGTTCTGGAAGCTAGAAGTCTGAGATCGGAGCGCTAGTATGATGAGGGATTTCTTATGGATTGCAGAACTCTTGTGTTTTCATTTGGTAGAAGTCAGGGATTTGTGGGGTCTTTTTCATGAGGTCTCCACCCTTATGACCTAGCACTTCCCAAAGATCCTATCTTCTAATAGCCATCACATCAGGCATTGAGATTTCAACATATTAATTTTGGGGTGGTGGTGGTAGTACACAAACATTCAGACTGTAACACTGGGTAAGAGGGAGAGGAGTACAGGAGGATGCAGAGAATAAGATCTATGCATGGTCCAGTGAAACTGGAGTTGTGTTACCTAGTGAGCAAGGAAGGCAGGAGGTGATGATCAGGATGGGGGATTATTGAGACTGAGATAATGGAGAGGTTTCTGTTATTGGTATTGACGAGGTATTGACAAGGGGCGTGGTTGACTAAGGTGGAGAACAAGGAAGACCTCTGAGGAGATGGGATAGCAAAGCACTAGGTGTTAGAATATCATCCATGTAGGTAATGAAAATAAAATGCTTTGTAGTAAGATTATGTTGCAGAGAGTGACAGTGAACGGGGAACTAAGATCTTAAGACACTGAGAAAGAATGACTTAGAAGTTGTAGCTGATTGCAGTAAGGAGATAATGGCAGGTGATCATCTGTTGACATGAGATAGATCAAAAATTGATTATTTTTTGTTTTTGTTTCATTTTGGAGGCCTTGAAACCCCCATAGGAGCAAAGAGGATTCTATCCCATCTGCATGCCTGGTGTGGAGGTTAAGGAAGTTACAAAGTAGCTACCTCTTGCAAAGGCTGCAGAGGAAGCAGGTCTTCAGGGGAGAGCAAGTTTTACAAAGCAAGCAGTGAAGGAAATGTTCCAAAAAAAGGTTTTGATGATGACTGAACACAAGTGAAGCATCAGTGAAGGTGTAGTGATGGGTTTTAGGAGATGGAGTCAGGACAAGGGCTCTTGAGAGCTGGGACATGGGAGTTCAGAGCACGAGGAATGAGCTGGCTGTCCTGGTCAGAATTTTGTTACTTGATACATTCAGGCATGGCAAGCATAATTACCAATCAAGGGCATGTGTTTATGGGCATGGTCTTATCTCCGGCTCCCTGATTTTTTTGAATGATTCTCTGTCTTTGCCCATGCTGTTTGCTCTTTCTAATCTACCTGTCACAGTGTTCTTCATTTGGCCAGCTCCTGTTCATTCTTCAGCTACAGGAACTCTGTCCTGATCTCTTCAGTGTTCCCGTAACACTTTGTAAATAACTCTATTAAAACTCTTATAATTTTGATTGCTATTATCTCTTTATATATGTCCCCATAAGCAGATTGTATGTATGCTTCCTAGGGGCAGGCCTGGCCATATTTATCTTTGTGTTCTCTGTGCTTACCACAGTGCCTAGGACATGGTACATGAAAGGTACCTGTTTGTTGAACTGCACTCTGTGCACTTGGGAAGAAATATGGTTTGGAGAAGAAGAGGAAAGAAGAGTGGAGAGATAACAAGGTGGAGATGTGTTGAGGAAAAGATGAAAATAAACTAGGGACTGTGGGCCAGATGATGAATCACTGTAATATTCTCACTAACACAGAAGACAAGTCCATCTATTTGGAATCTAATAGTGGGTATTGGGAGGAAGGAGAAAGTCTGAAGTAGCCACTGTGGAGAGTTGGCTCGGGGGTTAGAGAAAATGAATAACAGGCAAACCAGATCTGCATAGGTGGCATTTTGTGGCCTGAAAGAGAAGAAGGAAGAGGTTTGCCTATAGATGGGTATAGGAGTTGTAGATACAGCAAGAATAATGAGACATAGTATGACCGGCCAGGGAATCATAGAATCAAATTAAAAAATGTTAGAGCTATTAAAAGAAAGAGGTATTTCTGTTTTTTTTTTTTTTAAATATTTTATTTATTTATATGACAGAGAAAGACACAACAAGAGAGAAAACACAAGCAAGGGGGTAGTGGGAGAGGGAGAAACCGGCTTCCTGCTGAGCAGGGAGCCTGATGCGAGGCTCAATCCCAGGACCCTGGGATCATGACCTGAGCTAAAGGGAGACACTTAACTATTGTACCACCCAGATGCCAAAAAGAGGTCTTCGAATTCAGTTGCATAGTTCAGGCAATTGAGGTCCTGAGGGGAGTGTCCTAGGGTCATACAGCTGGCTGGTAGTAGACGAGGGACTAGTGATGATGCTGTGTCAGAATTTGGTTGTGGGCAATACAAATGGATGCTGGTTTGCTTAAGTGAAAAAGAATAAAGTAGATGTGGGCAACTCTTAGAATTAAAGGAAAAGCTGGAGAACCAGACTCAGAAAGTTGGGGAATAGCTTGCTCTGAAATTGTAGTTTGCAGGAACAAATACAATCCCTTCAGGGTCCTGCTGTGGGATAGATGATCCAACTATTAGACCATCTTTGTTTTTGTCCATTCAAGATACAAATTCTTAGGAGATAAGAGCAGATTGCCCAAGTTTTAAAGAACAACTGGGTAGGTAGTCTCACTAAGGCTAAAATACAATGTAGGGGAGATGAATTTCTCCAAAATGGTGCTGCTACCAGAAAGTAAATGGATATAGATACTTGAAAATCACAGATATCTTATCCACTATAGTGATGAAAATATAATATAGTGTAGTAGAACCAGCTATTACAGCCATTTTAGGTGGAATGCATGTTCTTTCTGCTCTACCATGTAGTAGTCATAGTGGGCAGATCATGGAGGCTGCTTCAACTGCCATTGACATTCTAGCTGCTTGTTCTCATGTTGTTGTTGTTGTTGTTTTGGCAATCATCTATTTCCCTTCTTCCCCCAGCCATCTCTGGGATGGCTGGTACAGTCTAAAGTCTAACTTTGGGCTACTAACAGTATCTCTATTCTTCAACCTTGTAGCAAAGACTATCCCCTGGGCAACTGCGGTTTAGAGGTTGCGGTTTAGAGGTGTGATGAGAAAACATACAGATCTTAGAGTTTAAAGCCTAGGTTCTAATCCTGGCCCTTGTGCTTGTTTATTCATTAACTTGGGAAAATTAGTTAACATTTCTGAGCTTCAGCTTTCTCATCTGTAAAATGGGGATAATACTACTCATAAGGTTGTTGTGAGGTTTAAAGGGGGTAATGAATCAGAGAGGCATGTAAACTGTAAAACAATATACAAATACTAGGTGTTCTAATCCTGGTATGACAGACACTCTCAGGCTGAAAACTGTTCTTCCATAATGAGGTTGTTCCCATAGGAGAAACCAATTTTGAACAGGCATAGTAGATTGCAGATGGCTGGCGCATACCAACTGGAGACATCCTGGGAGACCAGTATTTTTGATGGCTTCTGTAGGGGAGAAAAGGAGAAAGGTCCTATTGGTCAGAATGTGTTCCCCATTAGGGTCATTAAGCCCAATTAATAAGTAGCAGTCTGGAATT